AGTATTTTAGGTGCTTGTCTTAGCTCTGAATAACCGCATAGTTTGACAGCCACACTTCGTTAAGTTTATCCACAGTTTAGCAGCTGCAGCAAGTTGCTTAGTTTTTAAAATTCCCACACAGTTTTGAGACAATTGTTATACATATATCCGGCGAAATTTCCTACACTATTGTACGCTCAACTTGCGAAATTCCCACGCAGTTTTGTGAATATTGTAACGAAAATATAAGCGGTGTCTGTAAAATTCCCATACCCTCTTTGGGAATTTGTTTAATATATGTGCGGTCCATCCACAAATTTCCCTAAAAGTAGAAAGGCAATTTTACCAAGTGTATGCGCTCAGCTTGCGAGATTCCCCCACGCTCTGGGCAAATGTACCAAATATTCTCGAACATTTTTTGGGAAATTGTTTTGAATGTGTGCAGATAGTTTACAAAATTCCCACACAATTTCGGCTGGAGGGAAATTGTTGCATGACTTAGCTAAACAAGTGCGCCTTAGCTAAGTAAAATTGCTCTGCTTGCTGTACAATGGGCAATTAAGTATAGACACGAACCACTCTGGCAAGCAGCCACACAAGTGCGCTCAAGCAGTGCGCAAGCAGTTTGCGCGCGCTTACGTTATTATTTAAATAATTAAAATCTTATATTTTGTGTGGTTTTTCTAAACTTTAAAACTAATTGTCATTTCTTTAATTTCTTTCAATTGCAGGTAAGCACAAGCCTAATACGCTTTCTTAACTGAGTGAGTATAAACTGTACCCAATACTGTTCCCAACCTGTAAAAATGCTAAAAGAAAATTTCATTTTCACATTTTCGCGCGCATTTAATCAGAAAAAAACAAAAAAATAAAATTCATGCACAAAATTTTAGTTAATATAAATCAACTAATTAAATGCATTCAACATTTGACGTGAGCTTCAACTTGAGTTAAACTTTTGGATTGTTGTTGTCTCCCTCTCTCTTTTTCTCTTTCTTTCGCTCTCTCTCTTTCTCACTTGTGTCCTGTTGTTAAAACTTTGCGCTAATTGTGCTGTCAATTTAAACAAATGACACACAAAAGGCTACCTACTTGAACAAAAAAATGGGAAAACAAAAAGAAAAAGGAAAATTACATAAATTTTCCAAAAAGAAAAACAATTCGCTTGGAAATTGGGTAAAAGCGGCAGCCAGCGATGAAATTCGGCTGATAAAATGCAACAACAAAAGCCAATGCATTCAATTTCATTGATACCCTAACCCAAAATGGGGCATGATGAAACCGTCATCGCTTATGTGACTTTACCTGTACAGTAAACACTCGTTAAGCAGTTTTTGAATGTGCAATAAAAATGGGCATCTTTATAAGAAAATTACAAAAAAATAATACTTTATTTAATATTAAATTAAATTTAGTTTTGAATTCTCGAAAGTCAAAACTTTTTTATTTTTAATACTTTTTGCTCGAATCTTTGCTTGGATCCAGATTTTTACAGATATTCTAACTATATAAATTATATATATAGATTTTTTTGAATTGTATCAATTTATAAATCAATTAAGCGAAATATCGACAGATAGATACCCTCTAAAAACAACAAAAAATATACAATTCCATAAATACGAATATGTGAGTTATCGGACTAAAGATTGGGAACATATATATATATATAAGTTAGATATCTATATATATATATAAGTTAGTTATAATGTGTATTTTATGTATATAAATTGATATTTTGTATACATTTTTATCCATGTAATCTTCCATGCCTGTTCGCAAGGGTATTCAAGCTTCGGCTTTGCCCATTCTGATATTTTCTTAATTTTATTATTTTTCATCTGTTTTCCATTGGCTAATCTCTGATTGCAGTTACTAAGAGGCGGCTGCTTCGTGTTGACTTCTCGTTTTTCCTTTTCTCGTTTTTCTTTTTCTGTTTTTCCATTTTCCAACTTGTCAACAGCAACAGCAACAGCAAGAGAGAAGCAGCTGCAACTTTGGCTCCATTCACCTAATTTCTTCTTCTTCTTCTTGTTTTGGGAAAAACTTTTATTTCCTTGTTTGTTTATTTTCCTTTTGTTTTCTTTTCTTTTGCTGCGACACAGTGAAAAACAACAACAACAACGAGAGAAACAAATGCGCTGCATAATTTTTGCATTGTTTTGGCCAACTAGTCAAAGCGGGCGGGGAGGGTTAGAGAGGGAGGGGAGGTCGTTGTAATTTGTGCATTTAACTAGGCAGAAACAACAACAATTTGAATGTAGATTTTTGTTGCGCGACGCTTGTTAACATTTTCTTGCAGCTGATTATGCAACAAAAACAAAATCAACAAAAAAAATACAGGGTATAAGAGAGAAAACTGGGCGCTAAATACAATTCATCAACAATAATCGATAACTTAAATTTATCGATTAAACCATTTATCGATCAATCATGGAAGCTACATAAAGTCAGGCTATGCTAACTGTTGTTATTGGGAATTATTTAGTAAATTATTTAAAATTAATCGATTTGCGCATTTATCGATAAATATGCAAAACTGCATGGCTGTCACAGTTAATTGAAAGCATTTACATTTATCGATAATTGCATTTATAATAATAAAATTTGAAAATCGATAAAATTTGAAAAAAAAATGCATAATAATTATAATAGTTTATCGATAAATTAGAAAAATCACAGCTGTCGCAGCAAATGAACATTTTTGTTTATCGATTTGTGCATTTATCGATAAATTTAAAAAATGACGTAACTCTTGTTAGGATATCTTATGACCTTTGTTATATGGAAATGTTAAATCATTTAAATGTATCGATTAGTGAAACTATCGATACGTTATGCAAATGTCATAGCTAATGTGCCCAAAAGATAGTCAAGCGAAAAGCGCGCCAAAACTGAACAATTTTTGTTATTGTAATATATCTATATGTCTATATATATATAGGGATATTTATTGATATGCCTATCCCGGATGTGTTGACTGAGCGAATGCTAACTGCAATTGTTGTTGTTGTTGCAACTCTTGGCATTAAATGGGGGAAAATGTACATTTTTGTTGGCCTCAGTTGCAGCTACTTTGTTGCATTTGTTGTTGCTGTTGCATTTGCTGCTGTCACAAGATCTTTGGAGGCTGCTTTTGGCATTTTATTTATCGTTTTGCGCTGGCGACGAAACGCTGCAGATTTGCAGAAAATGAAGATGTTTCGCCAGCTCTCGAATTTTCTATATATTTATATATGTATGTGTTTTTTTTTTTTTTTGTGGCAACTTCAAAAGGCGCCTGGCGGAAGCGAATGTTGCACAGAATTAATTGGCTGCACTTTTTAGCTGTTGTTGTTGTTGTTGTTGCATGCAACAAAGCAATTTGACAATTTTCATTTTGTTTCATTTTCAATTGCATTTTCATGTCGCCGTTTGCCCAGTTGCCCACTTTTCCCATTTGCCCCGCATCAACGTGATCATCATTTATCTTCTCTCCCTCTCCCTCTCTCTCTCTCTCTCGTTGTTGTTTGTGCCGAGAACTGGAGCGCATCGACACGTTGCCGCAAATGTTGCATAAGATTTGAAATGTCGCGTGGCATACTTCATTTGGTTAGCCCAACGACTGACGGGGCGCATGAGTTATGTTCTTTTCAAACTATCGATAGTTTTCGATACGTTTCATATCGATATCGAATCGACGGTGACTTATGTCTTTACATACAGCTAAACGATAAAAGTGTCGATTGTATTCGATGTTTAATATCAATTTCGAATCAAATATGACCTTTTTGCTTTTCTTACACCTTAGCGACACAACTATCGATAGTATTCGATAAGTTATCGAATTATTCATCATAAAATATAGATAAATTTGTTTAAAAAGTTCGATATACTTGATATAAGCTATTGCTAGCTACGATAATTCGATTTGATATTAGAAATTGTTTGATTCTAAATAGATTTAATGTTATTTCACGTGAAAAGTAACATTTACCTCTGACTTGCTTTCGCCTTTTTCCTAAAATCGTTTTTCGGCTGCGACTTTCGACTCTGTAAAGAAGATCGCAGTTCAACTCCAGATCAGGCCTGTTAACATTATCGATAAATAAAAATGATCATCATAAGATGCACAATTTTGATTAACATCACCGATCAGCATGTGTCCTTTAGAAAATAATATACCCTTTGAGAAATCAACAAACGTGGTTAAAGTAAGATTTACTAGATAAGAGCTTATAATTCCCAAGGGGTTCATTACCCTGCCGTATTAATCCAAAAGCTTGTTGCTGCTTTTCCTAAAACCCGTAGACTGATCGATTACACACTTTTTGATTAATCAAGATGTTCGATAAATCGATAATTATGTTTTGCATGTCAGATTGAATGATGCTGCTATAAATCGATATTTTACGGATTGATGTGTTGATGGATCGATAAATCGATGCTTTACTGAATGATGCATCGATATTTTGATAGATCGCTAAATCGATATGTTACTGATCGAAAGATCGATACTTGACTGATCGAAAAATCGATACTTTAATGATCGGCAAGTCAATAGTTTACTTTTCGATAAATCGATATATTATTGTTCGATAAGTCGATATTTTACTGATCGATAAATCGATATTTAACTGATCGATAAATCGATATTTATCAAATCGTATCACTCGCACTTTTCATTTGCCCGCCTCGAATCATTTGACCACGCCCACCAACTGGATCACAGCATTCCCCATTCCCCACACTCCAACCCCCGTCGTACCCCTTACCCTCCTTACCCCACGAAAATCCTATCCACATGAAATTGGCAAATTGAAACCCGAGAAAACAATTTTAATTTGATTTCCAATCGAATTTTGTATTTGATTTATGGAAATATCTATACATATATATTCTGCTCTCTTCCCCCTCTCTCTCTCTCTCTCTTCTCTTTTTATTTTTTATTTTATCTTTTTTTATTTTTACATAATTCGCGCGCGCTTTTCAACACTTTTTTGAACCTGTCACCAAATCGAATATCGAATAAACACACACAGCTTTGCCCACGCCCACGGCCACGCCCCCGCTGGCACGCCCACAGCCACAGCCAACGGCAGTCGCAAGCGCGCCTTTAGCAATCCGCACATCCCCTCCGCCCCGCTGCTCGGCCCCGACGGCCGCCGCCTCCAGCCGCATCTCTACTACTACGACGAGTCCCGTTCCGGTCGCAGCTCCTTCTGCGTCGACGAATCCCTCTGGCCCGTGGCCGGCCAAATCGCTGCCAGCGACGGCGATCTATATACGACGCCCGCCGCAGGCGATCCAGAGGATCCGGAGGAAGCCAGCGATCAGTTCTCGCCGACGCTCTACGGGCGACTCGCGCCCAGCCGGGCCATACCCATACCCAGCCACAGCAGCAGCAGCGCCGGCAACAGTCCACAGCATCAGCATCCGCTGCACCAGCTCCATCAGCATCCGCTCCATCATCTTCACCAGCAGCAGCGCTCCCTGAGCAGCGGCTCGGCTGCGCCAGCTGCGGCAGCGGCAGCGGCGGCGGCGGCAGCAGCAGCAGCAGCTGCTGTGGGTTACATGGCATTTAGTGCCAGCCCCACGGGATTCGTGCACGCCTACTCGCCGTTCTATGGCAGCTCGCCGGATGCGCTCGGCTCGTATAGCTATGATCCGGCATTTGGGCCGGGCATTCATCGGTTGCAGGTGCCGCGCGAGACGGCTGCAAGACGTCCACGCTCGCCGCTGGATGGCGCCACTGTGATGGCTGTCAACAGGTCGGTGCTGGTTATCGATAGACCTAACACAGGGTGTTTACGGTTCATTTCTTACGTTAATGTTATCGATAATCGATTAATTATACTCGATGTTCGTCTGTCGATTAATGATGTCCGTTTAATAATTGTCGATTATCGATAATCGATTGTCGATTACCTCCGTGTTGCACGCTGCACGCTGAAGTTTAAAAAGACCTAACACGGGGTGTTTACGGTTAATTTGTGTTCTGTTTCCTGATATCGATTGTCGATAGTCGATAGTCGATTGTTGACTAATGATTGTCGATTGTTGATTATAGATCGTTTATTATCGATTAATGATCGCCAAATATCGATGGACCATCGATTGTCGATTAATGATTGTGGATTGTTAATTATCGATTATCGTTTATCGCTTGCATCTGTGTTGCACGCTGCACGACGAAGTACACCAAATGTAATTCATGAATTCATCAATTCTTGCTCAATTAACCTCAAATGTCATTCGGGCTTAGCTGGACTTTCTACTGATCCATATACTTATAAGGCTAACTGTAAGACATATGTAGATTCATCTACTACCACAAATTCATTTCACAAATTTTGCCTGAATATGCATTCGATTTATCTATATTTTTATGCAATTCTCATGTTAGTCGGCATGTTTTCGTACATTTCATTTTAATCTATGTGTGGTTTATGTGGCATGAAATTCAATTTGACTTTTTATCATATTTAGAATTAGAATTCTTATAAAATTTGTTATTTCTAATTAGTTTCTTCCTCTTAAACTTCAGCTATGATTGTAGCTGACAGTAGACAGTAGCTTAACTATTTTGGTATAATCTGATAGTTGATTGAATTTTGGATTGGAACAGACCCAGAACAGACCCAGACTCTATGCTGAGCTACTCCAGCTGCTACCCGCGTTTCATTCCCCAAAAGGTTGCGAGCAGAGAAATAGCCCCTACGCAGTTCCGAGTGCAAACTTACGTAATTTTTCATTGGAACTTGGGAAAATTGTTTTTAATATAGTATGAGATTTTATTTTGCAGCAGCTGCTGTCAACGCTTTTGCGAGCCACAAAAAGCTGCATACAACAAATTTCCGGTCTCATCCGCAACAGATGATGCGTCATTTGTCATGATTCACGAGCGAATCCTTTCGAGGCACTGGCGCAATTTATTTTTGCACGAAACGAAGCCCTTTGCCACGGTCTCTTTAATTATAAAAAGGCTGAACATGCCCCGAAACTCTATTCAATCAACTTGTGCGCATTTAAAACTCATGTCATGTCCATTAAAAATGTTAACTTAGGACCTGATTCCGTTTGGGTCTCAGCTGCGGGCAGCTGCCTTCTTACTTTGCTGCTGCTTCTTCTTCTTCTTCGGGTTCTGCCTTTCAATTTGCAGCGGGCAAAAGAGTTCTGCGTGTGTTTTGTATTGAAAACGTCTCGACCTGCTGCCGGCCCAGGCATGATGTCATTTCTAAACTTGCGCTTTTCTTTCGGGCTTTTGCGTTTCGCATTTCTTTAGCCTGCTTCTTTTTCTTTTTTTGGTATATACCCAGCATCCACTCGAAATGATTCAAAGGTATGAAACGCGAAGAAAGAGACCTTTGCGAGCCTTTGATCGGGATGGGAAGCTGAATTGATTTAATCTTAACTTAGTCCATTTGTCAGATATGTGAAGACTTGAATGAGGTTTATCGTATATCAGAATATATATCTTAACTATCAATCGCAGCAAATTGTTTACTTTTTGATCACAAATTTCGATAAATATCGATTCCTGCAAAATTCAATTGTTTTTCTATACATTCCCAAGAAAACAGAAACTGAAGAGAAAAATGTCGATATGAAGGCTACACGATATACTGTTCCGAGATTACCTATCCGAAAATTATGCATTTTACAAATTTCGATAAATATCGATTTTCACTTTGATTTATTCCTGTATATCTCATAAGCTCTTCCATAGATGCAGGCTGCACATTAGACGATTTGAGCTACACGATGCGCGGCTCCGAGATCTACTCTTACCCAATTTAAGAAAATCGATAAATATCGATAAATATCGATATTGAGTGATTTTCTTTTAACAATGAAATTTTCAACAGTTGTTGTTGTAGAGCAAAGCAACGAAGAGTCTCTCTCCATGTAAGTTGTTTAGAGTCTAGGGTATCTAGCGGTCGATCAGTGTCAGCTCGAGCTTACTTGCTTACCGATTGTATAACGCCTCAGCGCTGATGATGGCATTGATGATGATTCGTAATAAAAAAGCTATTTTTATATATACACCAGTTGTAGGTATAATAAATATTACGCAGTTTTTTTTTTTACCATGGAGCCGAAGAGAACTTGAAGAACTGCGCATTAGTTGGCCACAGCTGAGCCAATGTCTGCCCCAGGGCTCCCCTGCCCTCGGTTTCCCTCCTGACCAAGGATAAGCAGCAACATTTTGCGTGAGTGCCTTGATAAGCTGCGCACTAAGAAGGGGCGCCCAGAGGCAGCTCCCTGCCTCCTGTCTTTTCAGCTAATTTTTATTAGCTATTTAGTTTCGGTTGGTTTCTCTGGCGTGGGCGGATTCCCTTTGAGCTGCGGAATGCGCAGCGAATTAAAAGAAGCGAGTCGCAATTGAATGTGTGGTTGTTCTTGTGGAAAAGTAGCTAAATTCTAGTGGGTGGGAAAATGATTTGTGGACTGTGTGCGCTTATCAGATAATGCCCGGGGAAAAGTAAAAGCAGAGAGTTTTGTCCTTGAGTCTAAAGTCAATTATATGTTGCGCCGTTAGCACAAACTGACTTTTGTTTAGTTTTTGCCATTCCAATGTAAATTTAGCCTTAAAGACAGTCAAAAGCCGTAATTTACATTGTCGACATTATTGACAATAAATGAAAACCCGATGAATTCTCATTTGTGGACATTTACTAAAAACTTTACCCTAGAAGAGCTAATTTGAACTCTTTCTATTGAGATCGAGTTTTTATCGATAACAAACATAATCGCCTATCGTGTTATCGATAATTTGTCATTAATAGACATTTATCTCAACATTTAGTCGAAAGCAGTCTTTTTTGCTTTTAAAACAGTTTATAATTGATATTTATCGATAAAAGTGTTGCTATTTTCACATTTATTAACGTCGATAATTACTATCGATAACTTAACCCCACTTGGCTTATATCGCAATATTCTGCCTGAAGGCGTAACGCTTGCTTTGAAATTGTTAAGCATAAATGTTTATCTATAATAATCGATAAAAAGTTGATATTTGACTATGGATTTTTATCGATGACTGCTATCGATTTTGCAATTGCAATATTACGTCGAATAGGTTCTTGTTTGCTATTTAAGCTTTTCATTTATAATATTTATCGATAACTATCGATAAATGTTTCTCTTTGCACATTTAGGGTCGTTTTTCTCTATCGATAAAATATCATTTATGGACATTTATTGTAATATTTCATCGAAAGGCGTCTCGTCTGCTAATTTCAAATATTTATCTATGATAAAAATTTCTATATTTTCACTATCGATTGACAAGCCTTATTATGCTGTCCTAAGTCCAAGTATCTGATGGAACTTCATGTGATTCTCTCAATCAATTTCCAAATCGAGGTACAGTCTCAGCCCACATGAACAAAATATGTTTTTGCAAGCTCAAAAGCTGAATGCAGCCAAAAAAAATATATATATATATATATATATATATATATATATTTATTTCGAAATATCTCTGCATATAGTTTGTATGAGTCCCAATGCAGTTGCGAGTCGATGGCCAAGTTCAAGGTTAAAAAAAACTGCATTTCGGGGTAAACATTGTAAAAAACGAGAGAAACAAAATTTGATTATGCAGCGCCACAAATTCTGAAATTCGGAAGGGAAACTTTTGGGGGCGCGGGATGGGAGGGGGAAAGTGTGTTTAATCGCGGGGCAAACACAAAGGAGACACGAGCACACAACAAAACCCCCCCCCCCCCCCCCCCCGCATTGTTTGCCACACACCCTACCCCCCCTTTGCCGCCGCTGGGGAGCCACTCATCAGCGAGTCGCTGGCCATAAGTGAGCCGCGTTTCATTGTCGACATTTGGCTGCCTCGATGATGTCAGCGTTTATTTTTGGAGGCCGCAAAGCACAAAACACACACACACAAAAAGCCGCAAGCCTTAAAACATGCCAAAAATAATATTCAATGAGAGCGACAACAAGAAGAAGAAAATATACCACACACAAAAAAAAAAAAACTGCCAAAAAAAAGCAGGCGCAGAGACAAAAAAAAACATGCTCAAGTTTAACAAATAACAATTACGAGCATCTGCCCCGAGACAAGGTTTGCTCGTAATAAGAGGGGGGGGTCGCTTCCTCTCCCCCCTCCCCACACCCTCTCTCTCTCAGAGGTTTCTTGCGACCCCCCTTCATAGCTTGGCCCACGGCTCTTGAACTTGCTTGGCTGTCCAGCGTGCAACAAACGTACAAAAACAAAAAAAAAAAAAAAAAAAAAATGGGGAAAAAAAAACCAAAAATATTAAAGACAGACAAAAACAAGAGCAAGGCTTTAAGTGCGACATGCCGAAGTCGGGAATACTCTAGGCGTAAATTTTACTTTAACTAAAACTAGATAAATTGATTCATGGTTGAAGCGCAGTTCTACTCAAACTAAATAGAAAGATTCTTTGTCGAATTTTCTATAGTTCTTCATTCTTTTGCATTCGTGAACGTTTTTAATATGCTTTTGCTTCCCTTTTAACTCTCTTATTCTCTTTGTCTCTCTCTGTCCTCTTGGGGCTTCTGATTTATTTAGACATTTTCTCTTAGTCGCATATTCGTAAACATTTCAATCAAGAGTTATATAAAAACATGCTTGATATTTCCAGCCCAATCTACGGTTTCTCTTTATCTCATATTCGTAAATGTTTTGCTAGTCATATAGTCGCGCCTTCAGAATCTTTAAATTTTGCTGTTTTCTCTTTCGTCGCATATTCGTAAACGCTTTAATCAACACGTAGATACACGC